AATGAAAACGGAAACCTTCGGGCCCTGTTCTGCTGCTGATGCTGTGACTCATCCTGGTCGCTCCCCTCCGTGGCTGTTTACCCTACTTTAAAATGGGGCTAAAATGTTTCCTTGGCTGGGGGTTTGTAAAGGGCTCACAAGCTGTTGCCTGAAAAGCAGCAGGGATTTAGTTAGCTGTGTAAATGCCTCGTATTGTTTGCCAGGGTGTTTGATTTCATGCAGAGCCTTGAGAGTGAATGTAGCTGTAGCGATACGGCAGAGGTGTAGAGTCCCATCAAGGGCCTCGGTTTTGTTATGTCTGTGTGATGCTTGAGAGCCAGTCACGGAGCCGTCCTTCGGCATTGCAGCACTGTTGCCCTGCCTGAGCAGCAGGAACAATGCACTGACGCAGAAGCCAGAAATCCTACATCTTTTTTGTAGCTTCAAATCCAGTGCGGCAGCTGCGCTAACGCCGTGGCTAATGTCTCTCTATAATTGCCTGGTTGTTTGAGAGCTCCGTGCAGTGCAGGGTAGTACTGGTAAGGCAGGAAGCATGAAGGGTTATTTCACTGGAGAGCAGGGAAGAGCTTTGTGTATGCAGCATCCAGCCATGGCTGCGGCTCGTATGCTGCCCAAAGATGACCGACTGAATTGAGCTTTGATACGTCCAGGCTGTGCGGCTGAGAAACCTATCTGTCTTGTCTGCAACTAGGAGGAGTTTGTGTTCCTGCTGTGGTCCCCTCTGATCTGTGTCTAACTCATTTCCCTACCTCCTGTAGGAATGTTGAATGTCTTAATTTGCTGTTGAGCAGCGGTGCTGACTTGAGGAGGAGAGATAAATTTGGAAGGTAAGTAGCCCTTGCAATGGAGATTCCTCCAGCCCTGAAACAGCTGGAGCGCACCGAGCCTGGGTTTGGGTTGGGACATTCCTAAGACCTGTGCTGCATTTGGTGTCTAAAGCTGCTTCCTTCACCCCCTCTCCCCCCAAGGGGTCCAGCTCTGGCTCTTCAGAAGGAGCTGCCGACCCAAACCCTGAGCCAGAGCAGGGCGCAGCTCAGCAGCAGGGTGCTGGCTGGCTCCCTGGGTCCTGCCTTGCTGCCAGGCGAGTTTCTCCATCTGCGACAGGCAGTGCCGCTAAGCCCCCTTCTCCTTTCCCTCCTTCCCAGGACTCCACTGCACTACGCAGCTGCCAACGGCAGCTATCAGTGTACGGTGACACTGGTCACAGCAGGAGCCAGTATTAACGAGGCTGACTGTAAAGGCTGTACCCCCTTACACTATGCTGCTGCTTCGGACACGTACAGGAGGTGAGTGTCTCGGGCCCGCGCTCCTCGCTGCTGGGGCTGGAGATGATGGCACATTGCTGGATGGGGATGCTCTGCTGTTCCCTGGCCACCTCCCTGCAGCCGGTGCTCAGTGGTTTGTGAAGAGGGGAGCGCTTTGAGGAATGTGGGTAGGAGGGGGTAATCAGCAAACTGATGCAGGTCTCTGACCTTTCAGAGCAGAGACTCATTCAGGAAACAGCCATGACACTGATGAGGAGCCACTGAAGGAGTCCAGGCTGAAGGAGGCATTCTTGTGAGTCCGCGCCGTAGCCCCATCTGGCAGTTGTTTGTTGTTTACCCCTTCTCCGGACCCCTGCATGCAGTCACTAGGAATACCTTGCTTCTGCTTCCGCTGAATTGAGCAGTGATGCCTCGAAGGAAACATCTGCTGATGTGATTCTTGAGGCAAACCTGGCCGTCGCTTCCTGCTCCTCGCTTCCAGTGGGCTTTGCATGCGCTCTGTGTCTTGAGGGGATTCATACAACATCTGCTCTGAGATAAATCAGGGGGGTTCCCTGCAAAGCTCTGCCTTTCCAATCTCCCGTTTTTCTTGATCTCCCCTTTCTCTTGCTCCTTGCAGTTGTTTAGAGTTCTTGCTGGATAATGGTGCTGACCCATCCCTTCGGGACAAGCAGGGATATACCGCTGTCCACTATGCAGCTGCGTATGGCAACAGGCAGAACCTTGAACTGGTGAGTGAGCTGGAGAAAACCCTCTGTGCTGCCAGGAGAAGGGGGGAAGCCCCCACTAAGGAACATGTCAAGCCCTATGGTGTCCAGGTGTGGCTAAAGCACTGTGTGTTTTGTAGGCGCTACGGTGTCAGGGTTTGTCCAGGAGGAAGGGAGATGGGTTTGATTAAAAAGCGTGGGGACTCTTGAGGTGTTGTGCTGGGAATACCACAGAGGAAAGACCTGGGCCCGAGTGAGATACCTGAGAGAACAGAGCTTTGTTATCCGGCACAGCGGGACATATGGATGTCTTGCTTAAACCCCTGGCAATAAAGCAAGGTTGGGCTTTTAAAAGGAAGCCTGGAGACCTGCGCCAAGAAGAGCTCTTACAGTACAGAAATTGCCTTGTAACTCGGTCTGAAGTGCCTGCGTTGTTACAGGGTAAGCTTGCAGCTGTGTGGGCACAGGAAATCATATGAGTAGTGGGGAGGCTTCGAGATAGCAGGGACTATGCAGAGCCCAAAGCCAGGTTAAGGAAGATTCCGTCCTGAAATTCAGATCATTCTAAAGCAGATGAGCAGGTTTTCTAACCCCTCTGCAGCCTGCTGGTGGACAGGGTGTCTGTTGAAGCCTCTATGAGTCCAGGGTCGGTTATGGTTTTGTGTTGTTGCTGTTGCAGCTCCTGGAAATGTCTTTTAACTGCCTGGAGGATGTGGAAAGCACCATTCCAGTCAGCCCTTTGCACTTAGCTGTAAGTACATCTGGCCCAACCCCAGGGTTGTGGAGGGCACTCGACTCCGTGCGGGGTTCATGCTGTGTCCTGGAGAGGTACCTGCTGCCAGCCAGCACGGGCTGGGTCCCTGCAGCTGTCGGTGCTGAGCCGGGCAGAGGAGGAACGGCACTGATGGCTGGGGAGCGGCTTTCCCCACAGGCCGTTGATCAAAGTCCTTTTGATTTGTATGTTAAAATCCTTGCTCTTTCCACAGCTTTCTGATTGCTGCTGTTTGGAACCATCTCCCTTGTCTGAGTGTGGGCAGGGGTGGGAGTGGGCAAGAGTTTTGCATGGGACCAAGTGCAAACGGGAGGCAGTGGCCGGGCAGGAGCCCATCTGGCTGGAGCGACCCAGGGGGCAGGAATTGCCCCGGGAAGGGGTCTTCTGGGTGCAGCCTCTCCAGGCTCTGCTTTAATGTGGTCTGCTTTCTCCTCAGGCCTATAATGGTCACTGTGAAGCCCTGAAGACACTTGCCGAAACCCTCGTGAACCTCGACGTGCGGGACCACAAGGGGCGGACGGCGCTGTACCTTGCCACGGAGAGAGGCTCCACGGAGTGCGTGGAGGTGCTCACCAGCCACGGCGCGTCCGCTCTGGTGAAGGAGAGGAAGAGGAAGTGGACCCCTCTCCACGCTGCAGGTGATGGAGGGCAGACGGGGCTGGGGGTGGCGAGGGAGTGGGTCCAGAGCCCTTCCAGCCGTCGGTGCCACCGCTGCCGAGGATGCCCGTTCAGCCGGCTGCTGTGTGGGGAGAGGGAAGGGGGTGTGGTGTAGGGTGATGCTTAGAGGCAGGATGGGGCCAGTGCAGCCTGCTGTGATGTGCCAGCAGGAGCTGAGGGTCCAAGTGGCTTAGCAGCGGGTGGGAGAGAAGACACCAGCAGCTTCTGCAAAACACGTGTCTTCGGCTCAGCCTGTGCACGTGCTAATCAATCCTGTAGCCTAGCAACCACATAACGAATTTGCTCAGCCACGTGTGCCTGGCTGCTGGGCAGGAGCCCCTTCCTTTGGTTTGCTGCGGTGGCTGGAAGGAGGGGACCCATCTGTACGTGTGTGTGACCCTTCCTTTCCTCCTGCGTTGTCTCCAGCTGCCAATGGGAACACTGATTCTCTGCACCTCCTGATAGACAGCGGGGAGCGGGCAGACATCACTGACGTCATGGACATCCACGGCCAGTGAGTTTGTCTGCATGTTTCTCTTGGGATCTGCATGACACAGGGTCAGACCCCTTACAGGGTGGCTGGGGCAGGGGAGAGAGGGCAGTACTCGAACCCAGCTGATTTCCAAGCCCACTTTACTCCCTGCTGCCTCTTCCCCTCACAGAACCCCACTGATGCTGGCGATCATGAATGGCCACGTTGACTGTGTCCACCTCCTGCTGGAGAAGGGATCCACAGCTGATGCCGCAGACAAGAGGGGAAGGACCGCCCTGCACCGAGGGGTGAGTGCATCTCTGGGACTGGGGCGGGCCTGGAGCCCTGCAGCTTCTGCTCGTCCTCCTGTGCGGAGGCTGCTTGGAGGGCAAGCAGGTGGTTTCTTTTGTTGCAAAATTTCTTGGTGAAAGAGCCCATTTTCCCTTCCTGAGATGCAGCATTTGAGCAGGAAGCTGTGGAAGAAGCAGATAGCTCTGTTACTAAATGGTTGAAGGGTGAGATCTCACCTCCCGGTCCTCTTTCCTGGCCACAGGCTGTGACGGGCTGTGAGGACTGCCTGGCTGCTCTGCTGGACCACGATGCCTTCGTTCTGTGTCGGGATTTCAAAGGCCGGACCCCGATCCACTTTGCATCAGCATGCGGGCACTTAGAAATCCTGAGGACCCTGCTGCAGGCAGCCCTCTCTACTGACCCTCTGGACTCTGTGGTGGACTACAGCGGTTACTCACCGATGCACTGGGCTTCATACAGTGGTAAGGACCTGGGCTGGGCCCCTGCCCACCTCTGTTCTGCCCTGGCTATTGATGGGGAGGAGGGAGCCAGGAGGAGCCAGGTTATCCCTCTGTCCCCTGCTGCTTTGGAAGCTGTCAGCCCAACAGTGAGTTCAGCCTGGTGGAAAGGACGTCACAAATCTGGAAGGGAGGAAGGGAGTTCTTCTCCCCGTGCCAAGATCCTTAAAAAAGGAATGAAATGTGAAAACAGCTACTCTAGAAGAGCTGAGGCTGCTTCCTCCAGGACTGCTGGATTTATGGGATTACTTGGCCATCACCCTGGCTGCAGGGAGTGATGGGACTGATATGGCAACAGGAAGGGATGTCTCAGCATTTCAAAGGGAAGCTAGCAATGTGGCTGTGAAGTCCTGCAGGAGATGATGTGGAAGTGGAAACCTCCTGAAGTGCAGCACCTTTGCTGCCTCTTTAGGAAACAAAACCACTGCCTCTGTGCTGGGGAACAGGTTTATTTGGGTACTTTGGTGTCGCTGGTCCTATGCAGCCTCTGGGGCCTCCGGCTCTTTGGGTGTCGGGAGAGCCAGAGGGGCCTTCAGTCCCTTCTTGCTCTGTTACTGGTGAGGAGCCGCAGTCTGGGTACTGATGTATTTCTGTCCCTCTCTCCTCACAGGGCATGAAGATTGTCTTGAATTGTTACTTGAACACAATCCGTTCGCGTACCTAGAAGGAAACCCCTTTACTCCATTGCACTGTGCAGTGTAAGTGGCGTCTGGGACCTGCCCTGGGTTCTTCCCAGCCAGGTGACGTGGGAGAGGGGATACGTGGTCTGAGTGGAGGAGCTCCAAACTCTGCCTTTCTCACCAAGGGCTCTTTCTCGGGCAGCAGCAACTCTTCAGGGTGGTACCACCTGCTCGTCCCAGCTCCTTTGTGGCAGGGGGGCAGTTGCTGGACTGCTGGAGGTCCTTGGGGAGCAGCTGTCTTGTTGACTTTGCACAGCACAGCCAGGGTTGTCACGTACCAGACTCCCATGCCAGCAGGCTTTCAGCTCGGTGAAGCCGATGGAGCTGCCAAGGGCTGGTGGTTCAGCTCTTGCCAGCCCTCTGAGGTGGCTCATCTCTGCTCTTTGGTTATGGAGCATCTCAGGAAATTGCCAGGCTCCCCACGAGGCTTTGGAGGTGGGCTCCGGTCGGAAAGGGCTCCTTGTTGTCCCAAACCTTCTTCTTCAGAGGCATCTGGGACAGTGTGAGCTTGATCCGTGGGGTCCCACTGGACACAGAGGGGTTTGGGGCTGACAGTGATTCCTTGGCTCTGCAGCTGGCAGAGGAAGGAGTGTGCTGCCCTGGGCAACTGTGGAGGGATGAGCAAGGTGGAGGCATTGCCACGTTCTGCCTGGGGTGGGCCTGGTGTGTCCCTGGGATCTGTAGTAGCAGAGGGATGGGCAAGGCTGTTGTCTGGCATGGTACTGTGTTTCCTTCAGTAGCACCAAGAAGGTTAAAGGGGTGTTTTACCCTAAACAACTCCACACCAGCTGCTGTTCGCATCTGAACCCCAGGAGCGTGCTGCTCGCTACCACTGCAGACATGGTAATGCTGTTTAGTCTTGTTCTAACTTTCCTTCTCATCCCCGCCGCAGAATTAACAACCAGGATGGCACTGCCGAAATGCTGGTGGAAGCATTAGGTGCCAAGATTGTTAATAGCAGAGATGCCAAAGGAAGGTGAGTGCAGACTTGTCCCTCTTGTCACCCGCTCCCCAGTGCTGCTGGGTGGTGGCTGTGACTCCTGCAGTGATTTCCACATGAAATCCATGGCACAAAGGGACTCTGACGTCCCCAAACATGTGTGTAGGCCTCAGCGGTCTTGCTGGGGTGGGTGCTGTGCCCTCCTCTTTATCTGCTCTCTTGTCTTCCCAGGACACCCCTTCACGCTGCTGCCTTTGCAGACAACATCCATGGTTTACAGCTGCTTCTGCGCCACCAAGCCGAGGTGGACATGACTGACAAGCTGGGGAGGACTCCCCTCATGATGGCTTCTGAGAACGGGCACATTGCAGCAGTCGGTACGTGGCTGGCAGCCGCTTTCCCCAGTATGGGGTGCAAGCTTCCCTGTGCCTCCTCCGTAACCGGGTCCCATGGGAGCCGGGCTGTCCCTCTCCTCGTTGGCATGCTGGGATGGACAGCTGCCCCACTCCTGCCCCCTCAGCACACGGCCACTGCCCCACATTGCCAGGCTCTGTGCTGCTGCTTCTCAACAGCGTCTGTCCATCCTCATTTCAGAGTTCCTGGTGTACCAAGCAAAAGCAAATATAACTGTGCTGGATGTCAACAAGAACACAGCTCTTCACCTGGCCTGCAGCAAGGTAGGGAGACGGCCGCTCACAGCCGAGATTGCAGTCACCGTCACCTTCAGCCTTGCCACATTAATGAGAGGGGTTGTCCACCTACTACTGCCCTACCAGAGCAGAGGCGAGGGCCCTGGGATTGCTCTGCCTGCCTGCTTACCTGGCTTGACCCGTATAGGCGCTCCTGGTTCAGTTTTGAACAGCTTAGGTTGTAGGACAGACCCATCTGTATTTTTCGTGGGGCCACCATCTCTGAGTTCTGTGTGCTTCCTGGGGCGTGGTGGGAGCAGGAGGCTTGTGATCAGTGTGTCCACGCAAAGGAGATGCTGCAGAGGAGATGGAGGAGACAGCATCTTGTCTTCTCAGGCCCTGCCAAAGTGGTGAACTGTTGCGGAAGGTCAGGTTTAGAGAACGTTTCCGTATCGCAGGGAATTGTGTTCGACTCGGACAGTGCTAGGTCACCTCCACTGCTCCTGCTTTCCTTCTTGTGCACTATAAACAGTCTGGTCTCCTTTCCAGGGTCATGAAAAGTGTGCCTTGTTGATCCTGGGGGCAACCCAAGACCTTGGCCTTATCAATGCAAGTAACAGTGCTCTGCAGATGTGAGTATTTGGACAGCTGGCGCCAGTGGGGAAAAACAGGGCTTTGCTGGGAGGGGGTGATGCATTGGCAAAAGGGCGGTGGTAGGAGCTCCGCTCTTGCTTGTTGCGAACAGTGAGTGTGCAAGCGGGTAAGCTCAGGAACAGCCAAGTGTCTGCCCTTGAAGCCGCTCATGGGCCCCTTGTTTTAGCACAAGGTGTTAAAGGCGGGCGGCTCCGCTGCCGGGTTAACGCTGCCTTTCCCTCTCCCTCCAGGCCGCTCCACATTGCAGCTCGGAACGGGCTGGCCTCCGTTGTCCAGGCCCTGCTCAGCAGAGGTGCCACTGTGCTGGCTGTGGATGAAGAAGGTGCGTGTTCCTCGTGGGTGCCTGGGGAGGGTTCAGTGTGATGTCCCTGGGGGACGAGGGCTGCCTGTGGAAGTGCTCAACCGGGATCGGAAGGTTTTCCACATCCTTTCCACAGCTGAGCAGCACGTTCTCAGCTCATGGCATCGCGGGAACAGCGTGGGTGAGGACATTAGCACCCTGCGATCCCCTGTAAAAGCATTTCCAGGTCCCACAGGTGTTTGAAATACATCTTTAACCCCCCCATGCACCTTCTGGTGGCTGTCTGGCTCTCCTACCGGGCACAAAACCGGCCCAGCCTGAGCCAGCAATAAGCTGTTGACTCACTTGCAAGTTGGCAGAAACTGGTGGTTGTGGCCAGAAGCTTTTTCTCCCAGCAGAGTTCTTGCTCTGCTGGAATACCTTCAAGTTGTGAAAAACATCATTGTGTCTGCCATGCTGCCAGGGCTTCTAAGGCTTTTTATTCATCCGCTGCTGATCCTGGCACACTTCAAAGTGATTGCTGCAGTTGCAGGGATTGCCCGTGCCCAGAAGCAGGGTCTTTTGAGATGAAGACGAATAGATGTCCTAGCCCCTCAGCACAGGGGGGGAAATTGCCCTAGACGAAGCGTTCCCCGGGGAAGGCAACCGTCCAGGGCGGTTCTTCACCCCTGGCTTTGTTCTAGGTCATACCCCAGCCTTGGCATGCGCCCCCAACAAGGACGTTGCCGACTGCCTGGCACTTATCCTCTCCACCATGAAGCCTTTCCCACCTAAAGACGCCATCAGCTCTTTCAGCTTCAACCTCCTCAAGAACTGCGGCATTGCAGCCAAAACCGCCGCCTGCGCCTCCCAAACGGCAGCCCCTGCCCCTACAGCAAGGACCGGCACAATGCCATCGGCTTGGACGGCTGTTACTCGGAGTAGCTTAAACTATGGGTGACCTAATATCTTATTATATTTATTTAGAAATTCTATAAATATAGGGCACTTTAAAGGAGAACAAGACTGGGCAGGCCTTCTAGCGTGGCCGGATAGGCCAAGAGTTCAGAGCTTCCTCTTCTCGCTGTATTGCCAGCGCGGTGCCAAAGCTGTTAATCGCTTTAATGAGCAGCTGGCAGTGCCGTTCCCCTCCCCTGCCCCTTCTCGATCCTCTCCCTGTCAGCACGTGCTTGCACCCCTCTGATGGCAGGGCAGGAGACGGATGCTGCGGTGTTAGGGCTTTGCCCGGCCAGCAGGTGCCACCATCCGCTGGCCTGCAGAAGGAAAGGGGGTTTGTCCCCCAGCCTTTGGGGTGGGTTGAAATTGGTTCCGGCATTTCCCAGTGCCCCATGCCAGCCTCCTGCCCTGCCTCGCCTCCGGGACGCCCTCGGGGCTGCCCCGAGCCCCCGCTCCGGGACGGGGAAGCCTGAACTCTTGGTGGGATGTGGGGGTGGGAGTCTTTGGGAATTGGCGGGTCCTGCAAGCGCTGGGGTGGGTGTTAGCTCCTGGCCAAGTGCCACTGTAACTGCTCCTCTCTCGCAATCACTTTTTTTCTCACGCTCATCCTTCGATTCCAATACAAACACTTGAATCAAGATCTACTGTACCTGGGACACTAAAATATCCTTTTGGCAGCTGTCATTTATATGCAAAAACGGGTGCTGCTGCCCAACCCCGCGGTCGGCTGGCTGCGGATGCGCTGCTGGAGCCTCCCTCCCCACACCAGGCACTTTAGGGATTCTGTTGGTTGGTTGGTTGTTTTTTTTTTTCCTTGGCAAAATGTCGGATCCTAAGAAACGATTCTTTTTTGAATTTTCATTCTCTGTTTTGCATGGCCATTTCCATGTGAGAGTCAGTGTTGCTTTTTTTTTTTTACAAAAGGAAAAAGTTATTTATAAAGAAACAAGCATTTACCTTTAAAAAACCAACAAAAACCGTAAAAAAAAATCTGAAAGTTTTAGCCTTTTAATAAGGAAAAAAATGCACTTCAAAGTCCTTATTCAAAACCCTAAGTAAGTCTGTGTTTATTTTTCTAATGCAGCATCTTGGCAGGTTTATTAGTGTGCGTGTATGTGAGATCATTGTTTTTTGTTTGGGGTTTTCTTTTTTTAATTTTAGAAATCATATTTATAATGCAGATTTGAAGCATTCAAGAACATTGCACTGTTTTTTTCCGTTGGTTGTTTTGTTTTGTTTTTTTTTTTCCTTCTGAATTACTGTAACAGTATCGTATGCGAAAAACAATACTCTTTCTCCATATCACGAGTCTGTTCAAAGCCAAAGACTGGGATGCAGAGAATGAGAATGGGCTGACAGGGCAACAAGCATTTCGGGAACCGTCTTCTCCCCCGACCTCCTTTCCCTCCGCAGCCGTGCCGAAAGCAGGGAGCGTGGGGCTGGGGCCGAGGTTCCCGCCCGTGGCCATCCCGGGGGTGTCCCAGCGTGATCCCTCCAGGATGGGAGCGGGGAGAGAAGGATCCCTCTCTCCCCCCGAGTCCTCGGTGGCCACCGAGGTGCTGGTGAGACTGTGATGGGACCGCGCGAGCCTTGCGCTGCGGCTCTTCTGCCCAGCGTTTCAGAGAGAAAAAGCATTTCTGTAACCAAAATAAGGTATTACGTCTTTTTTTCTTTTTTAAAAATAGTTTCTAAATGAAGGTGGCTCCTGTTAGGGTGGTGTTTGTCAGGTTTAGGTTGTGGTGTGGAGCGGGTGTCGGAGTTCCTGGGGGAGGCTCCCGGCGGGCGAGGGGGCTGCTGGCAGGCCCCGGCGGGCGAGGGTGCTGCTGGCAGCCCGCGGGGAGGGTCCCCTTGCACTGTTTCTTTCTTTTACCAAAGCCAAACTCTTAGAACCAAATATGAAGTTTCAGTCTTGGCCTTTGGGTGATAAGCACATTTTCTTCATGTTTCACGTAGGAGTTTTTCCCAGAGGGGAGCGGGGCTGGGGGCTTCCCGTTGCTCCTGCTCGACACCGGCTCGGTCTCCCCGTCCCGTTACCAACCTGCACTTTGTTCAGCAAAGCACTCGAGAAATCTGTCCTCGGTGAGATCTCGGAGCAGGAGCGGTGGTCAGCCTGGGCCCTGGAGGGCTCTGGTCCCCGGAGGGCTCCAGTCCCCGGGCTGTGGGGGCCGGGGGTGTCTGACAGGCAGGGCTCCTCTGGCTGCTCCAGAGGGATCTTCCCTTTTTGGACCGCGATCCCCCTCTGCCCGGCTTTTGGCAAGGCAGCGTCTTGCTAGGCCAGCGGGTCCCCGCCTGTGGTGCCGGCATAGGATCTTGTCCCCAGCCGATTGCTTTTCCTTCTCCTCACTCCCCCCAACTCTCTAGCTTGAAAGAAAGTGTTAATCTTTCTGCACCGAATACCTCAGTTCGGAACCAGAATAAACTCACGAAACTTGAATAAAAAGATCCTTTTTGAAGATCCTTTTCAGTATTCTACAGAGGAGAACTGGAAAAAGAGATTTGTTTACATTGCTGTCGAGTCCGCACTCGCCTCTTG